GGCTTGTAATTTTAAATATTTATACTTGGTTGAATACAAGCCTTGCTGGTGAATAAAAATGACTGAAACTAATTGGATTTTAAATGGCGGACTGGTGCATTTTGAGTAGCCAGCTTGGTAAAATTTTCCAATACCAGTGTAGTATATTTTGTAGACGTTTGTGTATGTATAGTCGGTCACAACGTGCGTCGACGTAACTTTGTCTAGTAGGAACATGGTTCATGACGTACAAAACAAGTCGTATTATTTTCGCCCGATCACAATTTTATTGCTTACAGTGTGCGGACTTGATATGATCAAATGTCCAGCTGATGGAGAATGTCTAATTTCGTTTGAAATGTGCAATGGATACGAAATGGACTGCAGTGACAACTTTGATGAATCGACAGCTATCTGTGGAGGTGAGTTTATGCTTCAGCTTGTTTATGGAACTAACCCCTGACAATATTTGAAATCTACATAATTTTTGTATTTTGCGTTCAGTGCGGTGTGGGCAATTATAAAAATCGGGTGTGGCGGAGAACACTACTGCGAGATGGTTTCCTCGCCCCCTAGATTTGAACCACATCTTTTTCACGATGATATAACATTTTCTGTGCAGATTTTTTTTAAACATTAAAACCCGCTAACCAAGTTGATCATTCATCGTACCTTTGTGGTGCCAGCAATTGACAAGAGTTTTACCAGTAGTTCAACTTTTCCTTAAACCTAAACATTAGAAATTGTAACGTGCATTTTTCGTAACCCAATTCTGCAATCCGGTTTTTAACAAGCGGCCGAACACCTTGAAACTGTCATATGAAATTACAGGTTTCTCTCGCTAAGCTAAAAGACATTATTGGCACAAAATATACTATTCGTTTTTATGAATGACTAAATTATCAAATAAGTCGAAGGCAAACGAGTAATTAATTGCAGTAATTATAGAGGGAAATGTCTTGTGCCATCAAATCGTATCGTTTTTAGTCTTGTCGCATACGCGGTGCGCGAGGGCGTAATCTAATTACGTCATCAGTTAGACTGTATGTGAAGCTTGGTTTCCCTGTAGAATTCCCACGTCCACATGCAGTGAATGCCGTAAAAACTCGTAGCTGTAAAACTTTCTTTTACAAGTATGCGAATTACTATTATGCTTATGAAGATCCAGATTTTGTTTGGAATTGTATCCTGATTTTGAGGTAAAATTTCACTCCCGAAAACGGCGGCCGTGCTCGCTGAAGGTCTATCAATCTTGCACATGTTCTCGTGTTGACAGATACAAGGTTACGATCACGGCATTGCCTCAAAGCAAATTCAATAAATATTACTACCATATATCTGTAGTTTATTTCTTGGGTAATTTTAAGTTGACAATTTGGTGGAATCGTAACGAATCGTATTCGTGCATCTACTTGTACTTGCAAATCACTCGCGATCGCAACAAATTAGGAATTTGTAACACGAATCGAACATTTATTTGTACGGCACGCTTTGTTCTATTTCTTATGCCATAGACTAGTTCCATTTAGATTGATGTATATCAACCACAGATAGATTCATGTACCGGAGCAAATTCGTAATATAACTGTAAGCCACAATGGTAGGTCGAGAAATTGTAATCATGCAGCGTAGAATTTGTCGCCCAATATTCGTACAAATAGTGGAATTAATTTTTTTAATATTGAATAGTCGATAAACAATAGTTGGAACATGAAGCGTTCTCCAGACAAGCACCCGTCTCGCTACTATATACAAGTTGTGCAACCTCCTCGCAACGTCATTAGAATACGTGTATGCTAATGAGCCTCGTTGTGAATTGCAATAAATGACTCGTAGTGGACCGCATAATTTTTTACATCAGTGAATTTAGGCAGTGTAGGAAGATTTTCGCCTGAACGCTAAAATTGTCGTCTATGGAAATCTAACAAGTGGTAGAAGATTAAGACGTGCTTTCTAACATTGCGTTTTTTACTTCAGTTGAATGTGGACGTGGAGAATACCAGTGTTCAGATGGAAGATGCTTGCCAACTTATTGGGTGTGCGATGGGTATGATGACTGTGACGACAGTGGTGACGAAGCGCCCTCTATATGTGCAGGTGTGTAGTATCTAAAATTCACAATTAAGGTTTGTTACATTTTTACAAGACAAATTACCTGTAGCTTACCTCGATGCTCATTCATCAAGTTTTTAATTTCAGGTTGCAGTGTAGGATTCTTGAAATGCTCCGATGGAACGTGCATATCAACTGATAAAGCGTGTGATGGAATACCAAATGACTGTTCTGGCAATTATGATGACTCGCTAGAATTGTGTAGTAAGTTAATTTTTTTTAATTATCTCTCCAAAACAATATGTACATTTCAGGGGAAAAACTGGTACTTTTGAAGACATTCAGATGACTGGGGTAGTCCAGCACTCGTTCTACTGGGAAAACTAGTCATGACAATTTCTGAAATATAATGCGCTACAGAAGCCAGGGAACAATTATTTTGCCATGTGCGAATTCGATGTAACTGCTGTTGTGATTAAATAGCCAAATAATGAGTGCTCCAGGTCAAGTGACAGGAATGAGTTTGAACACAGCCTTCTTTTACCAGAAATTTGGTATTATTTATCAGCTTTTGGACATTTTGTAAATAAAATAAATTATGTGTACGTGCAGGACTGTGGTTTAGGTGTTGGTGTTGCATTACAAGCCAGATAAATGAATACAATTCAAATGTTTTTTTTTATCAGGGAATGGTCATACTGGATGCACACAATTTGCATGTTCAACTGGTGAATGCATTTGTCAAATGCATCTTTGTGATGGAATCGCAGATTGTGTCAGTGGTGAAGACGAGACAAACTGTCCTTGTACTCTGGCTGAATTTACCTGTACTGATGGTAGCTGTATTCCTTTATCCTACAAATGTGACGGAATAGCAGACTGTTCTGATGCGGGTGATGAAAGCACACTGATATGTAATCTGACCCCCTGCACACAGCTGCAATATGAATGCTCTACTTGTGAATGTATTTCTACAGATCAGCTATGTGATGGTATTAGTGATTGTCCTAGTGGTGAAGATGAGACAAACTGTGGTTGTACATGGGCTGAATTTACCTGTACTGATGGTAGTGTATTCCTTTGTCTTACGAATGTGACAGAATAGTAGATTGTCAAGATGGTTCTGATGAACAAACACCACTCTGTAGAGT